TTGCCATAACAGGAACTATAAAGAAGAGGCAAAAGATGCCAGCTTATATTTGCAGTACATCAACAAGCAATGTAATCATGTTGTCATGTTCATAACTTCATAGCAACAAACGATAATGGGAAAGGTACATATATGAAGCTAGACCATATGCAAAGACAAGAACCACACCTGTCTCAAGTAGCATAATGTCACTTACCAATTGATGCTAGCATGGACAGGATAATAGTGGTTGCAGTATGATCCTAAGATGGTCCAGTCGCAAAGTAAAAAGAAAAAAAGAAATTTTCTCTAACACAAAACATGAACATTTTCAGATGTAGCGAGATTTTCAGATTAAAAATGTACGAAATATTTCCTAATGTGTTTAAAGTTATTTGAGCCAAGCAGTTAATGTAACATGCTTTGTGAAATTTATCAATTTATCTTCTAGAACTCAAGCAAGTCAATGAAAAACCAAGGGAAATTTATTTTATTTCAAAATACATCACTATCTGATCTTAAATTAGCTCAATATTCTAAATGTCATGTGCACAAAATTGAAACACATCAAATATTAGCACGTGGAGTACCATTGGATTATCACAAAAGACAATGTTGGGAACATGGAATTTGGGTAGTCCTTTTGCATCAATTAATAAAAAAAATGCTTTGGTCGGGCTGAACGAATTTCTAATGTCACCAAATCATGCTAGAAGCTATAAATTGGACGGTCAGTTTGCATCAAAGAATCAAAATGTTTTTTCTTTGTTCTGGCTCAGTAAATTTCTGAAAGTACACCGACAACAAAGGGAATGGCTATAGGCAAATGACATGATTAATATCACCAAAAACTTACAGACATCTCAGGAAGCAATTTGCAAGCAAGAGCCAAGACTTAAGAACCGTTTACTCCTTGTATGTCTGATGTCTCCACATATGCAACAGGTAAATCAACTAATATCTCCTGGAGATCACAAAGTACAAGACACATAAATGTATGTAGAAAAAGATCAAAGCAAACAAGATTATATATGCTCCTTGTTGGGTCCTCCAGTGAACACAGATCAAACAACAGTTCAATATACAAGAAAAGAAGATGAAAACTGAGATACAAAACAGGACAAAAAATAATGGTTCAATCTCCAGTGTCACCTCATCAGCACATAACTGGTCGCAATAACTGCACAGAATAGCAAAAGGAGTATAAATAGGTCACTTATTTCCTTGTAGTTTGCAGTAACCAATTATGCCAAAAATGAGGGCATCAAATTTTCATGCCTTCAAATAATTTACTTTCACTGCTGAATAAAAATATGTTACCCTCTCAGTTGAAAATAAGATAGTGCTCATCGATTTCCCTTGGCTAGTCTCAAATCCAATCCTCAATACAAAAGCTACACAACCACCATCAGGTGCTTGAAGATTTATAGACTGAACAAAAGTAAACATGTCAGCAAAAAGCTATGGGCACAGATAGTTGGTTTCAAATGGTACCTACTTGCTCATGAATGGCAATGCATCAACATTGTTCTCTGTTCAGGTCTTCAGGATCATCCAGAGCCTCTCACCACAGTCCGTTAGTTTCCTGAGATAGGAGAAACACCGTTCAATGGCACTTAATTATGTAGTGCAATAGCATATAGATACTGCAATTATTTGTAAAAGAAGAATCTAACAAAGTCCAATACAATGGATAATGTATATTTTCACCAATTCAGGTGATATGTTTTCCGCCATCACGTTGAGTGCCAATGTTATTTATATAGCATAGAAAAGACACTATCATGGAACAAATAGACTTAGGGGGTGTTTGGTTTCCATGGACTAAAAGCATTTTGGATTAAAATCTATACTTTAGTTGGACTAAACAACCAAACACTTAGACTAAAATCCTTTAGTCCTTTAGTCCACAAAACTATACTAAAATGGACTAAAAGGTGTTGGGGACACTCATGCCCCTCATTTATTGCTCTCTCTCCCCACTTTAGTCCATTTTAGTTCGAGGAACCAAACACCACTTTAGTCCACTTTTAGTTCATGAACTAAAGTGGACTAAATTTTTTAGACCATGAACTAGAGAACCAAACAGGACGTTATGGTTACTTGCAAGCAACAAATTACGTATGATTGATGATGGGTACCAGACCGCACGTGGAAGGCGGCAGCCAACGACGTCACACACAGCTAGGAGCGGCCAGCCAACCGGCACCGCTCGCCCCAGCGCGGCGGCGCCGGCCTCCTTAAATACGCGCCACGTCGAGCTCTCATTAATCGCTTCGCTTCCACCATCGATCGATCACCTCCAAGGATTTAGCTCCTCGGTCTGCTCACCAAGCGTTGCAGCAGCGCAGCTCGAGAGGCGAGCGCGACAGCTGAGACAATCGGAATTTCGCCCTCATGCGAAGTGGGCTTCGCCCAAATGCCATTAATTTTGTGGGCTTCGTTGAAATGCACTTGTGAAACGAGTCCAACACGCTATAATGTCATTTTGAGTTTTAAGTCTACTTTAAAAAAATTTCAGCCAAAATTTTAGCCTTCAGTGACCATTTTGCCCCTGAGCTCGTTGAATCGGTGGGGGAAAGCGAGCAGAGAGAGAAGTGCGGGCGGTGGTGCTGCTCGCCGCCGGGCACAGAGAGAGACGGTGGGAGACAGAGAGGGGCTTGAGCGGTGGAGCTGCTCACCGCTGAGCAGAGCACCTGGACGAGCGGCCGGTCGTTGGACTGGCGCTGGGAGCACGCGGCTCCTGTTGCTCGGCCTCCCACGACGAACAAGCAGGAAGAAACGAAGAACTGGAAATCTAGAACAGGAAACCGACGGCCACAAAATCGACGAAAAACTGGACCAAATCAAAACAAATCACGACCAAACTTTTCACAGGCCATCACAAGGGAGTTGGTGAGCATACTCTAAGAGATCATCGCCCAATTTCAACCCAAACTCCGGAAAAATTAGATCACGGCCAAGAACACGAAAAACTCCCCAAAAACGAAATTCGTTCAATTTCTTCATGCTCGACTCGATTCAATCAAATTCACTTAAGGGGTAGCATCAACTCATGTCATAGCACGAATCTGAGCAAAAAAGAACGAACTAAATCGGTCTCAAAATGAAGAATCGAAGCAAGAACGGGGGAGGGAAAAACTGAGAAAAAAGCTGCAAAAATAAAATCACAGACACAATCCCTAGAACACGAATTGATAGTGTCATTGCCAATTGATGCCGTCCTTTCACAGATAAACACAGAGAAGGCAAACATTGGAACAACAGGCATTTTAGACCAAACCCTAGAACACGAATCGAAGTCATCGAAGGGACGAATCAGAGAGGCAAAAGCAAAATCCCAAAATACAAGAGGAAACGGGAGCACCTGAGACTGCTTTGTGCCAACCGCAGCACTGCCGAGACCCACCGGCACCGGGCACGAGCACCATGAGCGGCCACAGCAGGAGAGAGGGAGAGGGGGAAAGATGAGGACGACTAGCCTGCAAGGCCACGCCTCTGCCCTGCCCTGCGCCTTCCCCGCTGTGGGCTTCGCTCTCCACTGCCGTCGGGGCCCAGCCCCTTGCGCCTTCCCCGCGGTGGCGCGGCTAGGATTGGGGGCGGCAGCGCGACCAGGGAGCCGCGGGGGCTCGGGTAGGGGGTGGCGGCGTTCCGGCGTCGAGCTCCCGCCCGGAGCCTAGTCCTCGTTCTGCGACGGAGAGAGCAAGAATGAAAGAGAGTTTGTGAGGGAGAGGAGAGTGAACGAGGGGATAAGGTAAATGGACACAGAGGGGTAAAACGGTCACAACAAGTCAAATATTAGGCTGAAAAATATTAAAAGTTGGCTTAAATCACGAAATGGCAATATAGCGTGAATGACTGGTTTCATAGAGACATTTTAACGAAGCCCACAATTTTAATGGCATTTAAGCGAAACCCATCTGCCATAAGGGCAAAATTCCAATTTTCTCGCGACAGCTTCGATCGAGTCGTCGGTGCGTGCAGGGACCCAAAGCAAAACAAAGGCGGAGGAGGAGCTAGGTAGCTACAAGCGCGGGGATGGGTCACCCCACGGCGGCGGCGTAGGCTGCTGCTGCGAGCTCTGAGGCGCGCCCGCGGCCGCACTGCGCGTCGGACGCGGCCTTCCTCTGCGACGTCAAGGTGCACGGCGCCAACTCCCTTGCGTCGCGGCACCGCCACAGTGGCCGCACGCGCCTCCTCCTCGCGGTCGCGGGATCGCCAGCGCCGGCGCCGGACGAGGACGGGTACGAGTCCGCGGAGACCTCCTGCGTGCCCACGACCGACTCGGCGGCGTCCGCTGCGGAGGCGCGGGGCCCGCGCGCCGGCCGGGAGCGGGAGCCCGGAGCCCGAGCCGAGCCCGGTGCGCGCGCCGAGGCGGTGCTCGAGGGGTGGGCCAAGCGGACGGGCCTCACGTCGGGGCGGAGGCACGCCGGCGCGCCGCGCGGGTGCTCCTGGCCTGCGCCCACGACCTCGCCTCCACGCGCGTCGCCATGGCCGCCGCGCTGTAGCGGGAGGTGTCGGGGCGCGGTGGGATCGGCGGCGGGAGCGGGGGCGGCCACGGCGAGGCGCTGCGGCGCCTGGAGGCGTGCGCGCACGTGCCGGCGAGGCTTGTGTTGGCGGTCGCCACGTCCCAGGCGCGCGCAGGCAGGGAGGGCCGCCACGGACGCCAATCTTCGCGTCCAACCGGTGGAGGGGCCAGCAGCCGAAGCCTAGCCGCGCGCAGTCCGGCTGCCACACCCTCGCTGTCGCGGGTGACGAGCGAAAATTCGAATCCATACCCTCTCGCTGCAGACGGGCCCCAAGCCGTCAAAAATTGGACGCTCCCGCTCCCGCTCCCTCAATTTTTGGGTTTCGTTTTCCCACCGCCCGACCGCCGCGTCCGCTCTGCCCTGTTTTCACATTTGACCGATCCCCTTCGATTCGATTTCTACACCCCCAGAGTTCCAGACTCCAGAGTTCTCACTCTCCTGCCAAACCCCCTCGTCTCCCGACCCTAGAGAGCATCAGCAGCAGCCCCTGCCATGGCGCCGAGCTCCCCGTCGCCCGCCGCGCCCACGCGCGTCTCCGGCCGGAAGCGCGCGGCCAAGGCCGAGGAGATCCACCAGATTCAGGAGGAGGAGGAGGAGGTTGTGGCGGCGTCCTCCGCCAAGCGCAGCCGAAAGGCGGCGTCTTCCGGCAAGAAGCCCAAGCCGACGCCCAAGCAGGCCAAAGCGGCCAAGGCGGGTAGGAAGAAGAAGGGGGATGACGAGAGGAAGGAGCTCGTGGAGGACGATGTGTGCGCCGAGGAGCCCGACGAGGAGGAGTTGGCCATGGGCGAGGAGGAGGCGGAGGCGGAGGCCGATGAGCAGGCCATGCAGGAGGAGGTGGCCGCGGTTGCTGCCGGGTCGCCCGGGAAGAAGAGGGTGGGGAGAAGGAGCGCCGCCGCTGGCGGCGACCACGAGCCGGAGTTCGTCGGCAACGCCGTCCCTGCGGCCGAGGCGCGCAGCAACTGGCCTAAGCGCTACGAGCGCAGCACTGCCGCAAAGAAGTATTTTTCCCTCCCTACTCTGCTTTGCTTTTGATTCGATCCCAGATGTTTGCTCCCTGTTGTGACTTGTGAGCTGAGCAATCCCCTGTTTATTGATTTATGGCGTGTGCAGACCGGAGGAGGACGAAGAGCTCAAGGCCAGGTTCCACTACCGGAGCACTAAAGTGGACAACGTCGTCTACTGCCTCGGGGATGACGTCTATGTCAAGGTCCTTGTTCATCGCTTTCATTGCCTTCTTTATTTGCCATGATGCTGTTGCTGCTCTCATTTATGCTCTGCTCATGTATTTGTTAAGGAAGCAAGACTTGTTTGATTTTTGTTGTCCATTTCCAATGATGAGTTGTCAGCAGTACATCGTGGTACGCTGGAAGTCTAGATGTCTGTATGTACAAATTACTGTCTGGTAGCATATTTGTCATCGATCAGGAGCTTGCTTATGACCTCTGTTTGGAAGTCGGAGCTGCTTGGGTGCTTTGTGCAGCAAGCTTGACAATGATGACGAGTTTTGGCCGCTTATTAGTTTATAGTTCCGTTCTTTTTTTCATCGAGCGTTAGTTGTGCTCTGTGATGGTATAATTGTGACTGATCATATAATTGCCATGGAAGGAAGCATTGAACTTTAAAACCAATCCCTAGTTATGCGTGTTTGACAAGTTGTTTATGGTTGCTTCCAATGGTCATGAGTAGAATGAGTAGAACAAGATTTGGTCGAACCTTAAAAACTACAACCATCAATAGGTATTACATTATTTAGTTTGAAAACGTGTAAGTTCCATGTGTTGATTTGTATTCAATATACTTGCAAATCTCTTATATTGGAAGGGTTATAAGATTATATTCTAAAAGAAATTAGTGGTCAAAGATATGCATGTAAGATTGCAAGGTCAAATACTCAAATGTGTGAAGTATCTGTGACTAGAGGGAGTATAACATAAAGGGGTGCTCTAAACGTCTGTCTCTACACAATGCTGTGTTTGGTGTATAGCCTGCTCCCAAAAGCGGGATCCTTTTGATTCTGTTGAAAGTGCACTGTTCAACAATTTCAATGCCTAATGTTAAGAGGATATTATTTTTAATAACAAAAATGCTGCTTAACCCTGCATCTATTTTGCATGTACTTGTGATTGCTTACATCCTGTTATGATCTCTGAGATTATTTGAAAATTTTCTTGTCTTATTTGCTTGTTTATGAGAGGGAAGTGTTGTTTGTCTCTTAAATTTTAGTTTCATGAAAGTTCTTAGTAATTCAACTGAACATAAACATTGATGATGCAATGAACAAGAATGCTCAAACTATTGGTTGTGTACAATACCATTGGGTGATTTTGCTCTCACATCACATCTTTTTTTATGTTCTTTAATAATAGATACTGAATTTTTTATGATTCTTTTTTGCCTATCTTAGGCCGGAGAAAACGAGGCAGATTACATTGGCCGCATTACTGAATTTTTTGAGGGGACTGATCGGTGTCACTATTTTACTTGCCGTTGGTTCTTCCGTGCAGAGGACACGGTGCGTATTGAGCTTTGTGTCATTTCTATTAATGTCAAGAGGTAGCATAGAACTTTAAAACAATAACATATCAGTGCAGGTTATCAATTCTTTGGTGTCCATTAATGTTGATGGCCACAAGCATGACCCTAGACGCGTTTTTCTTTCTGAGGAAAAGAACGACAATGTGCTTGATTGCATCATCTCCAAGGTCAAGATAGTCCATGTTGATCCAAATGTAAGTTCCCTGCTGAGAGCTTTGTGATTTTGCTATGCACATAAAGTTTCTCACTACAATTGTTTTTTTTGCCTTAGATGGATCCAAAAGCCAAGGCTCAGCTGATAGAGCATTGTGATCTATACTATGACATGTCGTACTCTGTTGCATATTCTACATTTGCTAATATCTCATCAGGTAATTGCTTCCACATCATCCTTTTTTGGTTGACTAGCTGAATGCAATTTACTTGCTTTGCTAAATTAGTGCGACGTTACTACTTACCAAATAGCTTTTTTCCCCTAATGCCTGTTACAATATTTGTATGCTATATATCCCCTCTGTCCCAAAAGGAATGCAATTCTAGGTTCTGGATAAGTCAAAATTTTCTAAGTTTGATCGAGTTTATAGGAAAAAAAATCAACATTTACGTCCCGAATTAGGTTTAATATGAAAATATATTTCAAAATCAATGCAGTGTACTTATTTGACATCATCAATAGGGCGTACCCAGTGTAGAGAGCTCCCGCTCTGTGCGGGGTCTGGGGAAGGGTGTCAGTGGCAACCTTACCCTTGCCTGTGCAATGCGAGGAGACCATGACTCAAACCGGGACCTTCCGGTCACAGGCGGTAAGACTCTACCGCTTGCACCAGGCCCGCCCTTCTATTTGACATCATCAATATTAGTGTTTTTTTTATATAAAGTTAGTTAAATTTGAAGTTGTTTGACTCCTTGGGAAGTGAGAATTGTATTCTTTTTAGGAGAGGACACAATCATCTTCCAGTAATATTGAAGGATAACTGAACTGTCCACCTTAGGCATATCTGTCTCAACTTTTGATTTTGGCTACCAGTCATCCAACTTTTAAAATGAGCTTATGAAGAAGCCAAAAGCAGGCCTAGAGGTGCTTTCCCTGTCTTTTGTGAGATTAGTGATAATGTATATACCTGTATGGTAGTGCCATTCCATACTCACACCCACTAGATAAAATTCTATTTGCCATACTTGCGCAACATGTACCCAAATGTATACCTGTTACAAACAAAAAATCCTAAATATATCATATCATTTAAATCATATATAGCGTCAAGTTTTTGTAAACAGAAACTGATAATGATAACATAGCAACAAAACTTCACCAATATAGTGTAATAGTTATAGATCTATTGGATACATGTATATTTCATAGTTAGGTTGGGCCGTGAGTGTGTTTTGGCTATCTTTGGCATGACTTAATGAGATCACATATATGGTCGAGACGACCCATTAACATACCTTTGTTTGAAGAAATCTTTCCGTACCCGCCTCTTTATTGGGTAAAACTCGTTGGTCACTTGGGTTTTGGGTATCCATTATCATCCCTATGTGAGATATTGTTTTGAGGGGTATTGTGTGTATTAGATATTTATTCATTCAAAAGCTAATCTACAAAAACAAATTTTAAAAGTAAAAGCTCAAACAAACATGCCTTTACTCCATCAGCCTAGGTTTATTGGGTTAACTTTTAGTGCATGCAGTTTGAATCTTGGCAAGTGCAATTAAATAAAATAAATGTAGTTGACCTATATTTCCATAGTATTTGAGGTATGACTGAGCCTGCAAGGGAGGGAGAGTATTGAAGTATGAATGAGCTGTCCACTTTTGGCGCAAAAGTGGTGGGGCCACGGCCTGATCTTGTGCCAAAATTAACACTACGTTGGAATAGATTGAAATGAGCTCCAACATGGCTCATGATGCCTAATTTGTGTGCGACCGGAAAGACTTCCAAGCATGCGATATAGTCAGCGCGAATCATGGCCTGATCTTGTGCAGAAGATGAACACCCAACGCTATGAATGATGAGTTGCCGGTCATCTTGGTCGCCTTCCTTCGTGACTTTCTTCTGGAAGTAGAGCGCTGTTGCCTTCAACTCTCTGCTCCTTGCTTCATTTGCCTTTCCATGTCTGGCTTTTGCAAGCCTGCCCAATAATCAAGAAAGGAGCACATCATATAGATAATCTTAGAGGGAGTTTTGGTTCTTTTGTCCTCAAAACAAACATGTCTTGTGCACCATATTGCTTGACAAAGAGCTGCCAGCCCCACTACATATACCGGTTTACCATTCGGTAAACAAAGCTTGAACCAAACCCAAAACTGATCAATATTACAAGGTCTGCAACTGACTCCAAGGGTACATCAATCAGATTCCAAATGTATTTCGCCGCCATCCATCCAAAAAAGAGATGTTCCACTGATTCCTTTTCTGTATAAAAGGCATATATTTCACTTCCTTTCCAATTTTTTCTTGTGAGGTTGTCCTTCGTAAGGATAGCATTTTGAAGAAGCCACATAAAGATTTTAATTTTCAGAGGGATTTTGGCTTGCCAAATATGTTTAAAGTTTTGACCCTGATCATTTTGACATAAATGTTTATACAATGATTTGTTATCTCCTTCTATTTCACGTGTGGGGGATCTTCCATGTGATAGCTGTTAAATATAACTGAATTGAACACATTTCCTTATCAGCTTAGGCTTGTGAGTGCAATGGTTGGTGTATGTAGCTCAATAACTAAAACTGGTTTGAACAGTTTACAGTGACTAACTTTGACACTTGTTAAATGTGTATGTTTTTTTACAAACTCTGACACTTGTTTTTCTACTAGAAAATGGGCAGTCAGGTAGTGAAACCGCTTCAGGTATTTCTGATGATGATGTGGATTTGGAGACGTCATCTAGTATGCCAGAGAGGACAGCAACCCTTCTTGATCTGTATTCTGGCTGTGGGGGCATGTCCACTGGTCTTTGCTTGGGTGCAGCTCTTTCTGGCTTGAAACTTGAAACTGTAATCTTCTACCTAGTTATCTGTTGGATAGAATATGTTCATGATCTCAGCACTAATTCTACTGTTCTGGCTATGATTGCAGCGATGGGCTGTTGACCTTAACAGTTTTGCGTGCCAAAGTTTAAAGTACAATCATCCACAGACTGAGGTATGAATAGTAAACTGCATCTTGGATTCCATCTGTTCTGTCCAGCTGCTCTCACAAAGTTCCTTTGGATCTTTGAATGTAGGTGCGAAATGAGAAAGCCGATGAGTTTCTTGCTCTCCTTAAGGAATGGGCAGTCCTATGTGAGAAATATGTCCATCAAGACGTGAATTTGAATTTAGCAGGTTCAGAGGATCAAGAGGATGAAGGCAGCCCTCTTGATAAGGACGAATTTGTTGTAGAGAAGCTTATTGGGATATGCTATGGTGGCAGTGGAAGGAAAAACGGCATCTATTTTAAGGTACTTAAGCGTTATCTGTTCATCTGTACTTGATTCCAAGAAAAGAAGTTCAATTACTATGGCAATATAGAAAAAAACTAAGCTTTTCAAGCAATGGATATTTCTGTGTATTTTGTTGTAATGCTAGATTTCTGCAGGTCCAGTGGGAAGGATATGGTCCTGAAGAGGATACATGGGAACCGATTGATAACCTGAGGTTAGTATTTGGTATGTCATCTGCTTGTTGCCTTGTACATGTATTTGCACTCTAATCCTTGTTTCACAAACCAGTGATTGCCCACTGAAAATTAGAGAATTTGTACAAGAAGGGCACAAAAGAAAAATTCTCCCGCTGCCTGTGAGTATTTAGTTGGGTGTTGTTTTTCTCCCTGTTTGTTTAGCTCCCCATTTTTTTTGGGTGATATCTAACTAATTTATTCTTTCAAAAGGGTGATGTTGGTGTCATTTGTGGAGGCCCACCATGTCAAGGTATCAGTGGGTTTAATCGGTTCAGAAACCGTGATGAGCCACTTAAAGATGAGAAAAACAAGCAAATGGTGACTTTCATGGATATTGTGGCGTACTTGAAGCCCAAGTATGTTCTCATGGAAAATGTTGTGGACATACTGAAATTTGCTGATGGCTACCTAGGAAAATATGCTTTGAGCTGCCTAGTTGCTTTGAAGTACCAAGCACGCCTTGGAATGATGGTAGCAGGCTGCTATGGTCTGCCACAGTTCAGGATGCGTGTGTTCCTCTGGGGTGCTCTTTCTTCGATGGTCTGTTTTGTACCTTGCTGTTTTATATGCTTTGCTAGATTTATGTTGCATTGTTGACTGCTGGCTAATCAGGTGTATTTGACAATGTAGGTGCTCCCGAAGTATCCTCTGCCTACATATGACGTTGTAGTACGTGGAGGAGCCCCTAATGCCTTTTCGGTAAGTGCACTCACTACTTTGAAATCCTTTTTATTGTGTAAAATTTATTGAACAACTGAATTTGTTTGCAGCAATGTATGGTTGCATATGATGAGACAAAAAAAGCATCCCTGAAGAAAGCGTTGCTTCTTGGTGATGCAATTTCAGATTTACCAAAGGCAAGTGTTTTGTCAAGTTCATACATTTCTCAATTTGCATGCAATCTTACTCTTCTCTGCAGGTTGAAAACCATCAACCTAACGATGTAATGGAGTATGGTGGTTCCCCCAAGACAGAATTCCAGCGCTACATTCGACTTGGTCGTAAAGGTAAAAGGCCCAGTGAGCTTTACTGGTTGAGCTTCTCCATGAATTTTAGAAGAACCACCTTTTTTTCTTGGTCCTTTGCTACTACTGCAGCAAGTTCACTCTGTTTTATTCTTTCAGACATGTTGGATTGGTCCTTTGGTGAGGAGGCTGGTCCAGATGAAGGCAAGCTCTTGGATCACCAGCCCTTACGTCTTAACAGCGATGATTATGAGCGGGTTCAGCAAATTCCTGTCAAGAAGGTTGGTGGCTTGATAGCAGTTGTGCCTTCCTTTGTTGTTTCTCCTTCTGAAACAATCATCACTCTTTCCTATGACAGGGAGCCAACTTCCGTGACCTAAATGGTGTCAAGGTTGGAGCAAACAATATTGTTGAGTGGGATCCAGAAATCGAGCGTGTGAAACTTTCATCTGGAAAACCACTGGTATGTGTTATTTTGTGCTGTTGTGCAACATTTATGTTACATATTCAGACTCATAACTGATGAGATGCTGCAACTACTGTAAGATTCATAGTTAAGACATGATAAGAGTTTGCACAAATCTTTGCTATCTAGGTTCCTGACTATGCAATGTCATTCATCAAGGGCAAATCACTCAAGTAAGTTGCAAAATGGTCCTTTTTTTTGAAAAAAAGTAGGTTATTGGTTACTTGTCCTTACATATGATGTTGTAGGCCATTTGGGCGCCTGTGGTGGGACGAGACAGTTCCTACAGTTGTAACCAGAGCAGAGCCTCACAACCAGGTCAGCTTCAGTACAAACTACCCCTTTATGCTAATCCCTGCAACTGTATTTAATGTTAGTGTTGTCTGTATATGATCCTGACTGAACATGTTGTCCACAGGCTATATTGCATCCGACTCAATCAAGAGTCCTGACTGTCCGGGAGAACGCAAGGTTACAGGGCTTCCCTGATTACTACAGATTGTTTGGCCCGATCAAGGAGAAGTAAGTTCTTAGTTTGCCTGTACCTAATCTAGTCACTCTTGAAAGTTGTCAGCAGTAAGCCATTGATCAGTCAGTTACAGCTCTTGAAATCAGAAGCAGGATCATGCTGCATTGTAATCCTTGCCTCTGAACATGTGTACTTTCTCTGATGGCGATAGGTATATTCAAGTCGGGAACGCAGTAGCCGTCCCTGTTGCCCGGGCACTGGGCTACTGTTTGGGGCAAGCCTACCTGGGTGAATCTGAGGGGAGTCACCCTCTGTACCAGCTGCCTCCGAGTTTCACCGCTTTGGGGCAAACTGCGGTGCAGGCGAGGGCCTCTTCTGTTGGCATTCCTGCAGGGGAGGTGGTTGAGCAGTAAAAGGATACAGAGCTGAGCTGAGCAGGGCAACAGCCAACTGCAGGAGCATCTCTGTTTGGGTCCGATTCGGGCCCATCCAATAGCATGTTTACCCATAAATAATCAGCGCATCGTGCTGATTCTTATGATGGGAGATGAATGTAGGGAGGGTGCACTCAGCTCGAGTGCTTGTTGTACTATACTGTAGGTTGAGGTTTCAAAACATTCATTCATCGGCCGCCTATTTGTGGCCGATGTTTCTCGTGTCATTTCAGTTTAGCGATCTGCTGATTTGAGGCTTCGTCATGTACGTGTATTCTACCATTCATTCTTGTTAAATGCAAGTAAGACAACATTTGATCCTGGTTTAACGTGAGCATACTTTTGTCCAATGTTTGAGTAGGGACTTAAATAAGGCATCGTTTAAATTCAGTGGTGTAAAATTTTGGGTGTCACATCGGGTGTTATATGCATGGGGTGTTTGATGTTAATAAAAAAATAAATTACAGAATCTGTTGGTAAATTACGAGACGAATTTATTAAGCTTAATTAATCTATCATTAGCATATTGTTACGGTAGCACCACATTATCAAATCATGAACTAATTAGTCTTAAAAGATTCGTCTTGCAAAGTAGTCGTAATTTGTGTAATTAGTTATTCTTTTAGTCTATATTTAATACTTTATGTATGTCCCTAAATATTTGATGGGATAGAGTGTAAACTTTCAGTGGATAAACTAAACAAGTCTAAGTCTCTCAATGCTTTGGCTACGGAGTGATTTTTGGTAGGGCTTCTCTACCCAACGTTTTTTCTCTATCTATACAACTAAAAATTACGAGACTTTTCTCTGTGTGTTATTATAAAAGATCAAAATCCCCCTGTGTGCTCCTGAAAAAATTTAGCGGTCTTTAGCGTCACTACTCCAACTTTTTCGGGTCCTCCATGCCACTTCCGTCAATTCAGGCTCTAACGCCGGTAAACTGCAGGTGTGAAAAGACGAAAATGCTCTTAAATTCAAATATGTTATTAATTTTTTTGAGCATCTTAACGACTTCAAATGAAAAAACTCAAAACTAGAAAGTTGTAGATCTCGTCGAGATTTATAATTTTCATATAAAATTTATTTTTATTTAATTTCACAAAAAAATATGATTTGATATGATTAATATATCTTAGAAAAATCATCATATTTTTTTTGCGGAATTAAATGAAAATAAATTTTATATGAAAATTATAGATCTCGACGAGATCTACAACTTTCTAGTTTTGAGTTTTTTTATTTGTAGTCGTTAAGATGCTCAAAAAAAAATTAATAACATATTTGAACTTAAGGGCATTTTCGTCTTTTCACACCTGCAGTCTGACGGCGTTAGAGCATGAATTGACGGAAGTGGCATGAAGGACCCGAAAAAATTAGAGTAGTGACACTGAAGACCGCTGAATTTTTGTAGAGGCACATAAATATTTCGATCTTTTATAATGGCACACGGAAAAAAGTCTAAAAAATTACCGGAGTGAACCGTTCACCTGCCTTTCACCTCGCCTCCCCTCGCGCAACTTCACCTGGCTTTCACGGTTTCGCCTTGCCTCCCTGCGCGACCTGGCGCTCCCACGCGCGCGGTGCCCCCGGTCCCCTCGCTTCACCGTGACAAGATCCCGGTGCTCCCTCGCTCCTCCGTGCAAAGATCCCGGCTCCGATCAATTGATCCGTCTTCCCCGTTCCTCGCTCCAGCACAAAAGGTAAGATCAATCCTCTCCCCCGCAGTCCTCGCCATTCGCCTCGCTCCCTCACAATTCGTCTGCCGCCCGGCGCCCTCGGCCTCATGAGCCCTCGCCGTCGGCCTCGCGCCGCCGCCAGCCATCGCCCTCGCCCGCTCGCTCGCCCACCTCGAGTCATTGGCGAATACGTGCTCTTTTGTCTCTCTCGTGGCGATGACTGGGCGACCGCGTCGCCGCCGCATGCCAGGCCTTCGTCGGGCCATTCACCGGCGATGAGCACCCAACAGGTATGCCCATCCCTTCTCTTCCCTTTATATGCTGTGCCAGACCTAGCAACCGAACATGACTTAAGCTATTTGACTAGCACCCAACAGGTATGTCCATCCATTCTCTTCCCTTTATATGCTGTGCCAAACCTAGCAACCGAACATGACTTAAGCTATTTGTATTCGGATCTGATCTAACTATATGTGTATGCGTATTATGCTTGCTAACTTCGATTGTCCTTTACTGCTGCCGCCCCAGGTTAGATTGAAATAGTCATGGTGAATTATGGGCACTGGCCTAGATTTGGATCGGCCGGCTGCTTGGATTGGGGCTACATGCTGGACTGAAAGGATTCACTTAATGTTGCTGCGATCTGTAGTGCCTCATGGATCAGGTAGCTGGTCTTTGAATCAAATCGCAGTGCCGAATTTCTTGTGCCACCGGGAGTAGTCTTAGCCTCTTAGGCTCTTAGCCCAGCAAATGGACTTGTATGTATCCTTCGATGGGAGTTTCTTTTGGTCCAGCTCATGTGTTGAATCTGCTGTTATAGTATTCTGATAGAATTGACTCTAGCATGTTTTTGTAACTGAAATGTGTCAGTCGACGACACCTGTCCAGTGAATTAAATTGGTTATCATATCTAGATCATCTATGGTTAGTTTCAGTTTCAGTACACTGGATGCATAAACTTTTTCCACTATTCTGTTAGGACAGTCTATTTCTACTTGGTCAAATTCAGTTTCAGTGAGCGGCTGAGCATCATTGGTTCCTGAAGCTGGGACAGTCTATTTCTACTTTTTTTTTTTTGATCCGGGGAGCTTTCCCATTCCCACTTATTTTGAGCGGAAATACGCCTATGTTGAAGCATAAGTGAATCCCCCCTTTCCCTATTAGCTTATAGAAAAATAATGTCTCAAGCACAACTACAGTACCCAAGAGCTTCTGTGGAAGGACATTCATTATCTAAAAAAATAGAATCCGAAGGGCATTGTATTCTTGCGATCATCAGGTATGAGCAGATTCAGATTTCACGGTTACTTTTTGCAGGGTTCGGTTTTCTGGAGTAGGAAAGGGATGCAAGATAGCACGCCTATTGGAAGAGGTAACTGATTAATATACGATGATTTGGCTTTCACAAACACGAAAAGCACAGAACTACACAGCATAGGCATAGCTCGTGCTCTTGTTTGTTTCCTGTTCAATCTGTGTTGAGTTGTAGTTTGGGCAAGGGCTGATAGTCTGGTTGCAGAAACTCAGGTAATTTCATTGTGCTCTCTCTGAACGAAATCTGCAATGGCTCTTGTGGCCCACTTTCATTTTCTAAACATCATAAGGTCCAATCTGGTTCACAGTATTTTAAGCGCCATAAATTTTGTCTATCTGTACCACGCTAATGCTTATTGCATTAAATTAAGGCATAAACAGTTTAAAATATTGATTCTGGTCAGTGTGCCAATTCTATTCAAATCTAAAGTATTTTTTTTTTCAAATCTTAATGTTTATTTCATCTTGATTGTACCAAAATTGAAGATTCAACCACTACTGTAGTTAGTTTGATAAAAATGGTCATTGCCAAGGCTGTTCTATGCTTATCAGTTTTGTTTTCTTTTGTTCCATGAAAACTAGGAGTACATATCTATGATAAATACGAATTATAATGCTTGTTATTCAAGGATGGGAAAATTTTAAAATTGTGGAACTCCGCCTATGTTGTCTCAACATAGCAGGTCCCAAGCCCTGATAAAGGAGAAGGGTTGTGATAGGCATGGCGAGCCAACGTTAAACCTAGCCATTCTAATGGAGATGAAACCCGAAAGAAAACCGTTGGGGCGTAACCCTCTTAGCGACGCGCCATATCGGAACCCAGGTATGGTGTTAAATGAGCAAGGGCCGGGTCGTCACCCCCGTGACGCGCCGTGTCGCGATCTGGGCACGGTGTCAAGTGAGCAAGGATCGGGTCGTCACATCCTTAGTGGCGCGCTACATCGGCGTCCGGGTGTAGTAAAAAATGAGCAAGGATCTTCACATCTGAGTCGACGGGTGCGAAGGGTAAGGAAGCTAGTCGAACCAACTAGGATCCGTTTAGGTAGTTGGAATATAGGGCCACTTACAGGTAAGTTAAGAGAATTAGTTGATACCGCGACTAGAAGGCGTGTAAATATAGTATGCGTTCAAGAGACTAAATGGAAGGGCCAGAAGGCGAAGGAGGTGGACAATACATGTTTCAAGCTTTGGTATACAGGGACAGCCGCGAATAGAAATAGAGTAGGAGTTTTGATTGATAAGAGCTTCAAGAATAGTGTGGTGGGAGTGAGAAGGCAAGGAGATAGGATTATCTTAATCAAGCTTGTCATTGGTGATATGGTCTTGAACGTAATTAGTGCGTATGCCCCCCAAGTAGGCCTCGACGAGAGTGCTAAGAGACAGTTCTGGGAAGACTTAGATGGCCTGATTAGAGCTGTACCTATTAGTGAGAAGCTTTTTATAGGAGGAGATCTTAATGGGCATGTAGGTACTATAAGTGCAGGTTTCGAGGCAGTTCATGGAGGTTTTGGGTTTGGTAGTAGGAATCAGGAGGGGGAGGAAGTTCTGGACTTTGCGGTAGCTTTTGACCTGATGATAGCCAACACTTTCTTTGGAAAAAGATAATATCATCTAGTGACCTTTACTAGCAGACAACATTCTAGCCAGATTGACTTTGTCCTCGCAAGAAGAAAGGACAAACGAGCATGCTTGGGTTATAAGGTGATACCAGGGGAATGTGTTGTTTCTCAACATAAGCTTTTGGTGGTAGACTTTCGTTTTCAGGTGCGTTCTCGTAGGGAACAAGCTAAGATTGAAAGAACAAAGTGGTGGAAACTGAACGGGGAGACGTCAGAGGTATTCAGGGAAAGGGTTATCAAAGAGGGCTCTTGGAAGGAAGAAGATGACAAACAACATGTGGGAGAAGATGACAACCAACATTCGGAAGGTGGCCTCAGAGGTGTGTGGAGTAACCAAAGAAAGTCGAGGCGAGGCTAAAGATACTTGGTG